ACATTTCTACAAACCTGATGAAGACACAAACTCATCCTGAACTCGGATGGACTGAGGGTGAGCATATTTACAGCTCATTCTCATTTGAACTATTTCTTTAAACACACTGCGAAAGAAGTGTCAAACTGATGTTTTCTATACAATTTCCAGAGTCTCCAGGACTTCTCGTGAACTCTCAGAATGTGACGGGATCTGAGAATGGCAGCGTTACCATCAGCTGCTACCATCAGGGAGGACAATATGGTGTAAAATGGTGTAAGTTTGGAGGCCAGTGCATTACAGGAGCGTCGGGGAGGTGCGACAGAAGAGCTGCAGATGCCTGTTCATATCACTGTCGATCAGAAGAAGAGCAGAGAGAGTCCGGTTACAGCAGAGTCTGATCAGATCTCAGCCAGCGCTCGCAAAAGGTGACGATCCTTTAATATAACGACTCATTGACTCACACTCATGCTGGTCCAAACTCACACGACTGCCTTTCTTCAGGGAAAACTTGTTCTACCTTCTCACCTAAAATTCTTACTTAAAGTCCCGCTGATTTCAAGTTAATATTTCAATAATTTAAATGACACATTCACATGTTCACACTTCTCTATGTCAGGTAATAGTCGCTTTACTCTATAAAATGCTGGGTTGTTTCAACCCAACTTTGGGTCACATATGGACTAACCCAGGGGTGCCCAAACTGGGTCCTGGAGGGCCGGTGTCCTGCAGAGTTTAGCTCCAACTTGCCTCAACACACCTGCCTGGAAGTTTCTAGCATGCCTAGTAAGAGCTTGATTCGCTGCTTCAGGTGTGTCTAATTGGGGTTGGAGCTAAACTCTGCAGGACACCGTCCCTCCAGGACCGAGTTTGGGCACCTCTGGACTAACCCAATTGTTGGGCTAAAAAAAATAATAATAATTGGGTTAGTTCATATTTGACCCAAAGTTGGGTTGAAACAACCCAGCATTTTATAGAGTGTTGGTTTGCAGGCAAATTAAATAAAATATGAATCTTTTTATTGTGTATTTTATTTGGTTGTTTTTATTTGTTTTTACATTTTATGTTTATTTATCTTTAGCTTTTCATCAACTCACAAACCCCAGTTTAAAAATGAGTCAATGGAACACAAAAGCAGATATTGTTATTTTTGATATTGTTGATAATGTCCAGAAGGCTCTTTCCATATAAATAAACTACAGTGGCCAGATGGTGTCAAAATAAAAGTCTTTTGTGCTCCTATATTGGCTTTAGTGTGCATTATTATTATTATTATTTACAAGTTCCTTTTTGGATACTATTTTGGAAAAGCTTGAACATTTGTCAAAATATCTGATTTTGTGTTCTTCAGAAGAAATAACGTCATGCAGGTTTGGAGCGATGTGAGAGAGAGTAAATGACGACAGAATGATCTTTTTTTTGTGTGAACTGTCTTTAAATCATGTACGTCCATTTGAATTGGAGAATATGTAGCTTTTTCCTGTTTTGCAAAACTATTAATTTGGACGTAATGCTGTGTTTTAAGTATTTACACAATTATTCAGAAGTTAAACTCTTTTGATATTCTGTTGCATTTTAGGACGGCTATCTTATTTCTGTTGCCTGTGATTTTGGAGATTCTCCTGATGATAATCATTTACTTGGCACTGAAACTGTTGAAGTTTTGCAAAAAAAGTAAGTAGTTTACTTGCATCTTTAGTTGTGTGATCATATAGTTGTTTTAAACGAAGCCTGTGTTGTAGGATTCCTGCAGTCTGAGGATGAAGCAGAGGAGGCTCAGTATGTGACGATGCACAGAAAGCAGTCGTCGCGTGTGAGTTTAGCACTCAGTGATTCTGCTCAGTGCTGTAATAGTTCAGGGGAAACCATTCACACGAACAACAGACTGAACACATTCAAAGAAAACTCTCTGTTTCTGTTTTCTGTCAGTCATATGGCTGCGCTGCTGCTGAAGGAGTGTATGAAAATATGGCTGGACTCAAAACAAACAGTGAGGTGTGGATATCAAGCATTTCCCTTTATACTTCACCTTTCATACCACAGTAAAACACTGCTGAAGAACACTGTGTGTGTGTGTGTGTGTGTGTGTGTGTG